ATGGTCATTGTTTTTGCTGGAAATAATAACTATTTTTAAAGAAAAACAACAACAACATTTTCTTTAATGTTGGCTATCCAGAATTGTAAAATAATCATTTCAGCCTCTCTCTCGCTTCCTGCATCTAGCAGCAAATGAAGAAAGGGAAAGAGAGATGAAAGAGGGCAAAGAGATAAAGCTTGAAAGATTTATTTTCTTGAGAGTGTGCATATTTTGGAACAAAATGTAAATGAAACACACAAAAAAAACCCCACCGAAAACATTAGGAGAAAGTACTCATGAGCCCTACTACAGATTTTGGATTGCCCAACAGTGCAGAGTGCAGCCTGTATCTCTACTGTCTTTAATGTAAAGCCATGTGCAAATTCTTTTTTTTTCCTTTTTTTCTTTTTCTTTTCCTCACCATCCTACCCCCCGCTGTCGCTTCGTAGTAATATCCACTTCTGCTAAACGGGTGCATTCATCATCTCAGCAATGTGATTTCAGCACTCAGATGATCTCTTAGGTCAGCATTCACACTCCACAACCAGAAGGGCATGATTTCCCCCAAAAACTTAAATCACTGGAGATAAGTTGGGCATTATCTTCAAGGTTGCAAATTGCTTGTTTGCTCCTCCAGCTGGAGCTCTTAATTCAGAACAATTAGCATGCCATTTAAAACAGAAACAAAGCATATGGAGGTGATCCCGGGAAAAGAGCATGTTTGGGTTGGAGCACCCCAGCATTGCCTGGCATTCACTGAACCAGCTTGGCTCCAGTTTGTCTTTCTTTGCACATCCCAGCTCTTCCTTTTGTCCTTCTTTTCTCTCTCCATCTCTCCCCCCCTCCCTCTCTTCCTCCCTTCCCTGCTTTCTTTCCTTACTTTCCTTACCTCCTTGCCTCCATCGTTTGCTCTTATGGTTCATACTGGAATTGCACGAGAATGTTATTAAGAGAACCAAGAATTTATTTTTCATGTGAAATAAAAACAGTGTTTTCCTTCAAGTCTTTGTAGGAATCAGCATTGCCCGACACATGTTGTGTCACAAGAGCATTTTTGCTCACCCCACAAATGATCTGCACATCTTCCCAATGTACTTCTCTACCACTGGGGTTTTTTGGGAGCCCTCAAACCTGCAGACCCAGGCTGTGAAGCTGAGCAGGTCGTTTTAAAGAGCTTTTCTGCAACCCCTTTCCCATTACTCCCAGTCAGAGGATGGATGGAGGCAGCATCGGCAAATCTGAATAACTAATCAGAGTCCTCATTAACCCCCCGCAGAGATGCTCAAACATTCACTTTGCTGTTTGTGAAGCAGAAAAAAAAAAAAAAGAAAAAAAAAGAGAGGGGAAAGAAAAAGAAATACAACACAAAACGACCCACCCTGCATTAAAATTGATGTGTTATTAATCCCACTGTTCAGACCTCATGGGCACCAAATTTTCCTCCATCTCGCCCAAGGCTGAACAGTGTGGGGCCGCTCCTGCGGGGCTCTTTGACTTTCCATTATTTATTGGTGCAGTGTGGTGAGGCCGCTTTGTTCCCCGTGCCCAGATGTGCACACGTGTGCCTGGCGGGGAGATTCCCATATTTCTTTACATTTCCCCCCACTTCCGAGGATGCAAATCACCTACAGGGGCAGTGCTCTACTCGTGGATTCATCTGCGGTTGGTGCACGGCTTTGCTTTTTCAGAAATATGGAAATAGTGCGTGCATATTGGCACATTTCAAATCTTTTTGCTGATAGTGGCATCATCAGGGTTAGCTTGTGACTCTGGGAAGGTGAAAGGATGACTGGGTGAGAACGCCAGGTTGCTCTTTGCGCCTTCAGGTGCTCCCACCCTGCAGCTCTGCGCCGTATTTTGTACTGAAATTGCCTGATGAGGAAAAAACACAGTCAAAGGAGTTTGTGCAGTGCTCCTTATTTCAGCTCGCAGTGATGTTGGAGCTGCTGTTGTGCTTGGAGAGGAGTCATCACCTCTTGATTATGACTGGTGCTCTTCAAAGAGCACAACTGAAATTTGAGCCTTGGTTTTGCTTATTTATAATACTTTTCATGCTGATAGGGTTTCTCCAATTTTCACCACAGGTATAGTTTGGGGATGGCACAGCTTGGAGTGAGATATGAAAAAATTCAGCAAAGCCAGCAGCGTTATCAGGGATGTCAGTGTTTGTTGTCCCTGCTCAGGTCAGAGGAGCTGGCATGGAGTCTGTTAAAAACTGAGCCACAGTTAAACAGCACTGAGTTGCTGACGTTGGAAACACTAAGATTTGGTCACACTGGAAACAAGTCAGCGTGCCAGGAAACATCATTTTTTGCAACAATCCTTAATGATTATTTTTTGCTAAATATTAATCAGTGTTTCCTTATACTTAATTATATCCTTATTAAAGGGATGCTCTAAGGAAGCAACCTTTTGCAGCCTGAGCACAGGTTGAACTCCTAGGATGCTGGTACCTTACCTGGGTTTCCATCTTCGCTGATGGACATGATATGAGTTGGGTAAATGGGGATTTCGGGTGTGTTGGGGGATTGCTGTAGATGCAGTCTGTGCCAGGACTGCAAATCATTGCCATCAGTTGGTCTTGTTTGTGACCCTCCAGCAGCTGCTCCATGCACTGAGTGTTGTATGTGCCATGGAGCAGCTTGGAGGCGACATCTCCATTCCCTCTCGCATCTTCAGGACTTCAAAGGCCTCTGATAAACTTCAAAGGATGCCTTTTGAAGTTGCTGAAAGTGTGTGCTGGCTAATGAAGATTTATCTCCCTTTGCAAGAGTGTTTGGGGAAGCATTGCTGGTGGGACTGGCTATTTGTGCTCCTTGTGACAGGGACAAGAGCTGCATCTTTTGTGCAGAAGCCATGCAAGCTGTATTTTTGCCCTGTCAAAACAGGTGCATGCAGTATCCAAGACTGCAGCCCTGATCAGCTCTGAAGATGGAAATCAGCCTTGCTCAGGAGCTATTTTAGCATTCGCAAAGCTCTATTTATCTGCTCCTTTTCTTCCAGGTCTCACACTTTGTTCACACAAGCAAAGCCAGATGACAAAAGTTCCTCCCATGGGAGGAAAAAAGACTTTACAGGGACAACAAATTGCTGCAGAAATATGAGCTTTTGGAATCACTGTCAGGACAAATCCAAAGGTGGTCACGTCCCAGCTCCTTGACTAGCATTCGGTGTCAGCCTCTGCTTGCTCTGCCAAGGCACAAGCCCATAGGTTTTTATTCCTGATTAAAAATATCCTTAGTGATGTTTGCAATTGAAGAGTTTTGGACTCGAGACCCATCTGAGTGTTCAGCATAACCCAGGTTGAGTCTCTCAGCCTCTCGGCACGACCTGGTCAGGAAGCCAAGAGCCTTCTTGCCCTTCTGTCTTCTTCACCAAGTCTTTTGAGATTTTTCTTTTTTTGAGATTTAGAGTCCAGCTTTTGGATGGGAGGAGAAGATTTTGTGCCAAGAGCAGATGCATAAATGTGTGCTCAAAACTGTAGTGCTGGAAAGTCAGATGGCATTTTGGGTGGAAAAGTCACGGGAGTGATACTGAAACAAACACTTAAGTGCTGGGGCCGTGGTGTGTAGCATGGCAGATATTGTGGGTGGATGTTGGGGATCTCAGAAGCTCTCCTCTAGTTGATGCATATCCAGGTGCATATCTCCCATGTGTGTTCAAGGTCTGAGCAGCTGTAGATCAAGGTATAAATATATCCTAGACACATACAAGTGATCTGAGGAGGTCTGTACCGTATGATATATATTGTGGTAGGCAGATACAGATTGAAGATTTGAGGAGCTTTCTGGAAGGGATGTTTATCAAGGGACTTACATGTTTATTGGAGTTTTGAGGAGCTCTATAGAGGTGTTATATATAGCATGGTAGATATATCAGGTGTGCACTGGAGATCTGGGGAGCTCTCTGGAGGTGATGTATGTCGTGGTAGGTACATACATCAATGTATATTTTAGATTTGAGGAGCTCCAGACTGGTAATATATATAAGAGATGTATGTATCAGACAAATAAGAGAGATCTGAGCAGCTCTCTAGAGGTGATTTATATCAGTGTAGATATAGCAGGTTATATTGGAGATCTTAGGTGATGTTTATCACCTTGTATCTAGAGGTGATGTAAATTGTAGGGACATTTATCAGACATATATTGGAGATCTGAGGAGCATGCTAGAGGTGATGTATGTATCAGAGATCTGGGGAGCTTTGTCTCTTTGCCTTGAAATCATCCACTTGCTTCCAGCTTCTCTTGGAGGCCTCAATGTCAGCCAGTTTTCCAGGAATGACATTTTCTGTGTTCTCCTCTTTTTTTAGAGAAAAAATACAACAAAAAATGCACCCATGGCCATGCAAAGTCACTGCTCGGTCTAACTTTTTGTTTGTTTATTATCCGCAGTGCAGAAGGTTTCAGATAACAGATATCTTTATCCTGGACTTGCCTGGCTCTCTGACTTCTGTCTTGCCAAGGAGTAGCACCCATTTGCCAACCTTGGTCACAAGACATCTCATATTTTAAGTCATCCTTGCAAGCTTCCTTCTGTGTAGATTTTTTTTTTTTTTTTTTTGACACAGGAATTGCTGCAGAGAGGGAGATTTGTGAAGGCATTTAGTGAGATAATTAAAGCTGAACTGAGAAATACGGTGATTTGCAGACGCACCTAAGTGGGTTAGGCAGCTAAATCCCATTTAGGCAGGGAAATTTTGCCACTTGATCTGCTTAGAAGGGCCTAGAAATCCCAATCTCAGCTTCCTTAAAGACCAGATCCTTGGGAGAGGCAGCATCAACGCTAACACTTATACGGACTTTTGCTTATTAGATACCTCCTGATCCACTCCCCTGTTTTTGAATTAATGGCTCTTTCCTGGTTCACGCAGTCTGAGCTGGAGTGTAGAGGCACATTTATACTCAAGCAAAGATTATTATTAACTATGGGAATGGTGACAGCCAGTGCAAAACAGGGGCATGGCCAACAGCAGCAGCAGCAGCTTCATGTCTCTTTCCCTATTTTCTCCTTTTCAGACCCAAACTGTACCACTAACCCACTGTGAGATCCTGTGCTGAGGAGCTGTCATTACTGAGGAGCAGAAGGGGACAGGACAAGATACAACTGTGGCTTTCCCTTTGTGGATATACTGGCAACGAACGCATCTTCATATTCCAGACACATCTCGGTTCGACCTCTAAAACTCTGATACATTTTTCTCATTCCTTGGAGATGCTTGTCACATCCCCGGGGGTCTGACTTATCAGCCACTAGTCCACCTTTCATCCCCAAGGGGCAATTCTCGCCCCTGATTTCCTTGATTCCTCCTATTTTTGGCCCTATCCTGCAATAAGAGGTTCTCTAAGGGCACACTTGCCCTTGCAGGGTGGCCCGCAGTGGCTTCACTGATGGTGCCAAAGGACCTAGCACAAAAAGCTTCATCCTGTATGTAATATTTCATCTTTCCATTTAATTGTTTTCTTTCCATATTCAATATTTCACCATTTTCTTTCCCAGACTGTGACCCATTCTCAGAAGCTTTGCTTTTGTGGCTGTGGAACGTTTCGTGCAGTGGCTCCTCGAGCACCCACAGACGGTAAGGCAGCCTCGTTTTGCACTAATTGGGCAATGATGCATGAATTGAGAGGGATACGGTGAGTTGTGACCTCAGCAGGGCTTTGTCAGGGATTTCTGCTCTTTCCTGGTACCTTGCACTTATATTGCCCCTTTGCTAAATTCGGTGAGCATTAGAGAGGAATTGCTGACTTTCCTATTTTTATTGTTATTTTCCTTAGAAATCAGGCTGTGCAGGGGATCTTGCTTTAAAGCTCAAGCGTTGAGAGCACGTTGTTAAGAGCTGTAAGCCACGACTGACCCAGAGGAAAACACAGATTTTGTCATAAAAATGTCCCAAATATGGGCTGTTATCACTGCGAAATATTGGCAGCTCAGTAGGATATGGAGAAATGGTCACCAGTTAAAAATAACTTAAATGCAGAGCTTAAAATAAGATGTGCGTGAAACCAAGGATCTCGCAGTTCTTCAGTCAACCCCAATCGCTAAAATTAGGGCCTGACAGAGTGACAAATGTGTTTGCTCTGTGCCAACACTGGAGGCACCCAGAGGGTGACAAAATAAATCCCCGTTGGCTGCAACTTTCCTCCTAAAGAAGCAAAGCAAAATCTTTGGCTGTTGAACAAAATATTAACTTGAAAACTGAGATGCCTTCAGTGTGGGCAGCTGTCCTGGAAAGGAGCCTTATCTCCTCCTCAGTCAGTGGAGATGAGGGCTGGAGCATCTCAGGGTAAAACCCAAAAGCTGTTCAATTCTTTCTGCTCTTTCAGCCCCAAGTGAAGCTTCACTTGGAGACTGCAGGGCAAAGCACAGTGCAAAACCTTTTGCATCTTTTCTTTGAGTTTTGCCTGCTCTGAAAACCCTTTTAATAAACGGCAGTCAATAATGACAGGATTATTTTCTCCAGGCTGCCCTTTCAGCCTCAGTTCTCACCAGTGACCTTCCATCAGCTAAATAAAACAGGATTAAGTATGTGACGAAGTGGCTGAATTTCTCATTATTCCAGATCTCAGGTTTGGCCCCATTTCTACTAAAGGTGTGGATTGGGTTGACCTCGGAATCTTTTCTTAGGTTAAATGCAAAATTATCAGAGGGTGTGTACAGGAGAGCTACAAGATGGGGAAGGCTCTGGAGAATCATCTCTCACCAGGAATTTTGCATTAGAATAAAAAACCCAGACCCATTTCCCTGGCGGTGGTAAAGACCAGGAGACCAGAGAGCTGCAGGAGGGGGATGTGAAGCAGAAGTGCAGCAAGTTGGGAGCTCTGATTTATCTGCCATATGGGAAAGAGGAAAGCAGCCAGCTCCAAAGGGATTCCTTTCACTCTCCCAAAGGGAAAATTTGCAAGCATGTTAGCAGGAGTTAGTAAGAAACGAGGCAGATTTAAGCGAGGAAAGGGTTTTATGGGTGTTCCATGGCATTGCTTTGCCTCTGGTGATTCCCATGGGCAGGGAAATCTTTGCCTTGGTTCCTGTGCATATCTTGCCATCCACATTTCTGCAATTGGGGTAGGTCTGCTGCTTTAATCCAATCTCTGCCACATGACCAAAAATTGTGTTTCTGCTGGTGTTGCGATCACTCACACGTGTTGGGGGATTTGATGAAACTGATGCAAACAGGCACTGTGTGTTACGCAGTCCTGCATAGTTTGTGGCTGGATCTTTGCTGGGATCTTTGGAGCACTGAGGCTGTGGGTGGCTTCTGTCCACCGGTGCCAATCTGATCCTCTGACTGAAAAACTGGTGATGGACTGTGGGATGGAATAACATAGCTGATGGTTACATTTTTGCAGAGGAAGTTTTTCTCTGTCCTCCAAGAAGTTCTGTGTTAAAGTCTGAACCTGGTTGGGACTTTGGGGTGAAACTTTCCTATTTCAGGACTGGAATGTGATTGAAATTTGGAGTTTGGGTGTTGGAAATATGATTGCACAGCAATTCCTATGTCATGGGATTAGCAGGTTGCAATCGAAAATGAAGTGTGCAAGGCAACTTTTGAAAGCATCAGGATAGATTTTGATCATAAATTATTCACAGTTAATTGCTTGCAGTGAAGAACTGTTAGAAAATTAATCCTCTCCCGATTTTTGCTAATGCTCTCAAAGCAATCAACCTTTTCCTGGACAGTTTGTGTCCGACAAGGGGAAGTTGTACATTTTTAGGCTGCTCAGCTACGTTTCACTTCAAAGGTTTTCCATTTGCCCTCCAAAAAAAAATTCACAATTTGCTCTTTTGGGAACTTTTGCTGGGCCGGGGGCTGCATTGCCCAAAATTCAAGTATTTTCATGTTACTTTGAAGAAACCTCTTTGATGTTTCCCTGTGCCGGTTTTTTTGGAAGGTGCTTTAAGGATCTCCATCTATAAAAGTAACACTAAAACGTGTGTAGGTATCTCAGCTCTCCACTTACAAAAAGAACAAAGTTGTTTAATGCTGCCGTTCAAGGTACATTAACCTTGTCTACTAAAGCTCTGACTGGCTCTTGCAGGTTTTATTCTTGTGTTTATGTTGCAGAGATATCCCTGGAGCATTTTAGTCGGCAGCGGGGATGGGTATCTTCGGAGAGAAGAGAAATGCTTAGCGGTAATTGTTGTTCTCATAAGAAACGCACCACAGCAGCCCCCCTCCCACACCCACTCCTTCGCATGAAGCTGGGGGGGTTGCAAATATCTTAGTGCTGTTTCCCTTCAACAAGGGGGAGATTACCCATCCCGTGGGAAAGTGAGCTGTTTTTGGGACGTGCCATGCAGCACAGCGTGTCCCTTTCCTTTTCTGCTGCCTTTGTGTTGGTCAAGAGCTTTTTTAGGAGAAGAGGAGTTTGCTCCGGCCCTGGATTTTATTCTGCAGAAGTACCAGATCTCAAACTGCGTTACACAGTGGCAGCAGCAGAAGCCCAGCCTTGATTCATCTTTTTTTTTCACTGGGAAATAACTCAGTGATGAGACACCAGGAAGTTGTCAGAGTTCAGCACGTAGGGAAGTGGTGTCTGGGCTGTTAGCAGTGCAAAAATCCTCCTGGAATTGAGCAGAGGAAATTTGGCTAACAAGCATTGCGAAAAAAATGGAAATATTTGTTATCCCCGTGGTATTTCTAGCGTATATCCACATTCAAGGTAGCATGCAAGCCCGTGTGGTAGAAAGACAAGAATCATGAAAACCAATTGAGAATGGATAGTTCCCTGAAAAACAGGATTCTTCCCCATTTTTGACCATTGATGAATTGACATCATCAGACGTGACATTAGACGGTTGCTTTCATAGCTTCTGAAAACCTAATGCTCATCTGCAGCTGGAAACTTTTGCTCTCAGGGAAATGGGCAAATTTCAGTAAAAACAGACGGTCAGCAACAAGGATACGGTGGGCAGAAATGCTGCATGTGGGACCGAGGGATTCGCTCCTGATTCACTTCGCAGGCAAGCAGAGGGATGCTGTCACCCGCAGAGAGTGAACCTGTCCTGGTTGGCGTTTCACAGCAAGATATATTGTCCTCTGGAGGTGCATCTCCCTTCCCGTCAGCCATATTTCTTCATTTTAACTTATATATATGTGTATAATGAATGCGTATATCATAAACATCAGCGTGCAGGAGCCCTCTGCAGAGACAGAAGCACTGAGCTCTGGCAGCCTGCTGTGAGCAGAGCGTGACCAACGCTGTCCTCGTTGTTTCTCAGACAGAGAAACACCCTTTAGAAGGGTGAAATCCCCTCCTGTGGTGGAACCACATCCCAACCGTCTCAAATAATTTTGCAACGTCAGGAGGAAAATGGGAAATGCATGAAAACCTGTCTGCATGGTTTCCACGTGGAACTCTCAGTTATCCACCACACGCTGCAGGGAGAAGCTGTTGAATTAGCTGGAAAAAAATGATCCCCATTTTCCATTGATTTGGAAGCAACAGCTGCATCTTGCAAAGCCAACATTAATGTTATCTGAAAAAATGGGTAACGTGGAGTCCAAGGCGGTGATTTTTTGACATTCAGGGCTACTTCTAATGCAGTTTCACAGCAGTTTTGCTAATCATGCGGGTCAGAGATTATTTCCTCTTCACCTCCAGGATGGCAATGACTGCCGGCGATACTTGGATTTTTTTAACATTTGGAAGCATTGGTGACCACCTTGAAAAGATGACTTCTCAACTCATTCTAATTACGTTAATTTGAAAGGAGAGATAAGAGATGGCTGGCAAAATAGCAGCCTATAAATCTTTCCGGGCTGAAACTCTTTTAGGTCGGCACGAGCTCTTTGGGAAATACGTTTCCAACTTAATGGCAATGTTACAGTGAAATGAAATAATTTTTATTTCATAAGGAAATTTAGGATACTTTGATCTCAGATTGCTGCCAAAACCCCTTCCGGAAATGAAAAGAGCATTTATCAGTTTTATTGCTCAAAAATTCTCATTTGTGTGTGATGCCCTGGGAGCAGGCTGACTCCTCCTGCCCTCGTCAGTTCCCAGCCCCGAAAATTCACCATTTGCCCAAGGTGGGATCACTGATCTGAGCTGCTCTGCAGGGGCTGTTTCTCTGCACGCCCTTCTCTTTCTCCTCTCCTCTTCTGGATGCCTATAGCCAAGGGCACACCGGTTTAAAAACATTTAAGGGGGAAAATAATGACCAAAAAATAAGAATTAGTACCTAAAATAGCAGTGTTTGGACCTTCGCTGCTCTTGGAAGAAGCGCAGTGCTGACGGTAAATCCCCGGGGCTGCAGGACAGCGCCGACAGCTCAGCACCGCGCGGGGCTCCGCGGCTGCTCCGGCAGCGCCCGGATGAACGCAGCGCTGTCGGCGGCGGCCGCCTCTCATTTTTATCCCTTTTCGTATTTGGCCGTAAGTCGCATTCTCCAAACAAATCAACACCTGTGAAGCCTCAAAGAACCGCTTGATGTGGCGAGCAGGTTAGGCGGTACTCGGCAATTAATCGGGCTCTGGACTGCCACCTTCTGGGAATACTTTCGGCTGCAAAGCCTGCACCGCGGGGCACCGCTGCTTGCTAACGGTAGGCTTGCTGCTGGCACGGACAGTAGCTGCGTGTTTTTGCCCCAAAATAGCCCTCGGTGAAGTCTTTTTCCTATTTTTTTCTGGACTGTCAGGATGCCGAGCTCTTTGCTTTTTCCAGCTGCAGCAGTTTCTGGTGAGGTTTCCCCCGTGGGTTTCAGTGTCTCCTCTTTAGGATGGGGCTGCCTGAGTGCCTGCACGGCAGGATTTATCATCTGACCCCAAAGATTTTAAGCTGCCAGTTCACTCAGGAGCAGATAATTTTATTAGAGTAAAAAAAGATAAAAGCATCATTTCAGGAGTTGGACTCGATGATCCTCATGGGTCCTTTCCAACTCAGGAGATTCTGTGGTTTTATGATTTTTATCCCATAAACGCTGTCTTCAAGAGGTCTGCTCACGCGCTGACCCCACTCTACATGCTCAATGCCCCGCATTTTGGATGTGCTCTCTTAATAAGCTATTCAAGGGACATGCAAAGGATGTGAAAAGTAATCCTATATTATTGTATCTGTAAACAAATATTTTTCACATTTATTCACTCAAAATAATAGCGGCGATTGATGCTGATCCCACGCACAGTGCTCAGCTTTCTGCATGAGCACAGTGCCTTCGTGCCTGCGGTGCCTGGTGGGCTTTGCAAGGCCCAGAGTCTCACGGAGGAGAACAGAATATTGGAAATCTTCCCCCAGACAACTGCAGGGAATGATCTGAAGACCCCGAGCCCACCTCAGTATCCCTGTTCCTCTGCTGTGGGTGAGGATGTTTCCTCCCGCAGATCACAGGAGGAAGCAGAGCCCTGCGTGCACCAGGGTTCCTATGGGGAAAAGTGTAGCAAGCTCCACGCATGGCAGCCCAAGGCTGCAGCAGCGCTGCTCTCACCTGTGGCCCTCATCACCTTTCCCTGAATGCATTTCCCATCCAAAATGAGAAATCTCAGATAACTGTCACATTAAGGGTCAACAGATCATTTTGGGTTTCCCACAGGGAGAGTGCTCTGTGCTCATGCGAGGGATGTCACCTCTCCTTTTCTTTCCTTCTCTCCTTTTTATTGTTATTTTTCCCTTCTGGGGAAGAAAAGCCCTATTTCAGGGCTTTTTTCCCCCAAATTCAGCAGCCTTTCCCTGCCCGCAGGTTCTCAATGTGACTCCTGCCCAGGATGCACCATGTCTCCCCGGCGCCGGCTCTGACGATGATGGCCACCCAGACGGTGCCCCCTCCTCCCTACCAAGATAGCCCACAGGTGAGTGTCCCCCATGCCCTCATCCCCCCCTAGCACCCCTTCCCACTGCAGCTTCTGCAGTGAGATGGCTTTGGAGGCAATTTGAATGGCGTTTTGATTGATTTTATGGCATTTTTGGCAAACCGTCGCAGGGAAAAAGAGACTTCATCTACAGTGTTGCTCCAAGGAGTCGAATAACCTCCTTTCCAAGTGTCATTACAGAGTTAGTTATTGTAAGAAAAGGAATTTGGTCCAAGAGAAACTCAGCCAGTGCACCCCAATGTGCTGGATGTGGGGATTTGGGCTCTGGCAAGGTTGGGTTTTGGGAATGGCCCTCCTCTTCACAGCCTATTCCAAACTTTTGGGGGGCAAATCTGTATTTCTAGTTTGGTCTGCAGAGACTGAATGTGGATGATCCAGATGTAGCACTGAACTGGCGCCGTGTTTAAGGCAGCTTTTATAGGGCTTATATGGAAAAATGTGAATTTTTCCCCCATTTTGTGTTTTCTTCAAAGCCCGACCCTGCTGCCTTTCTCCACCATTTGCATCCCTGTGTGGCTGCAAAAGCACAAAATACCCCCCAGGAAAAAAAAATAGAGACCATTTCCTGCAAGGAAAATAAATACGTTGCTGCCTAGCCGTGACTTCTGCGCTCCCCCGAAGCCACCCGGGCCTCCTTTCAGCTCGTCTCCTTCGGTGGGAAAAGGTCACTTTTGCAAATGATGCCTCGGTGGGGCTTTTATGGCTCCTCCAACTTCTGTGTCATCATTTGCTCGCTCCGCTGCTCCGCTCAGGGCTTTTTTTCTTTTCCCCTCACTTTTTCCTTTTTTTCTTAGTGCCTCCTGTCGAAACGCCGCGCCTTTCTCGCTTACGCAGCAGGGAGCTGGGACGCCGATTTAGTCCTAATGGGCAATTTAAGGGACTTTTAAAATAGCCCAGCTTTTCCATGGCATCCTACAGAGACATACCCTATACCTTTCCCTGTCCCTTCTGTGCCCTCGTTTTCATTTAGAGCATTGCATTTGGGGATCTTTGGGGCTGTTGCCACCCAAACCCTTTCTTTTCATCCTTTTGAAGGGGATGCTTGTGTGTTTTTCATTCATTTTGGGGGGAATGCTGCAGCAAAAAGCACTTTGTTTTGTGTTTGTTATTTATTTTTTTTCTGAATGCTGTGGCTGCTGTGAGCTTTTCACCTGAAAGTGGTAGGATTTGGTATTTCTAGCTTTTAGAAAAGCAAATTGCATGTTTATTCCTCTCCCCAAAGATACAGCAGAGATGGGGAGGTCAGCATTAAATAAGAAAACAAGTGGAACCATCAATTACAAGAGCTACAACTGACATTTCAAAGCTCCCCGTCATCAAGGGGACCATCCTGGGGAGAAAAATGGTAAAAAAGGGGTTTGGGGGAGCTTTGCATTAATATCGTTAGTGCAGAGGCCATGCAAGCAATCAACCTCACTGTCGGAAATGTGCAAAAATGAAGCAGAAATGGTGGGAACAGCTGCCTTATGAGGGAAAAAACGCTGTAATAATCTTCTGGTTCTGCTACCAGCACGTAACGGTGTAATTGAGACCAAGCGTGATCGCTGAGCAACTCTACCTGTTGGAAATTAGGAGTCTGCATAGAAATCCATGTGTTTTCCATAATAAATTAAAAGAAAGAAAACAGCAAAAAGTCGTCTGCCATTTCACTGTCAAAGTTGGACAAATATAGTTAGCAGAGTAGAGGTTGTTTTAAAAATACAATCTCATTTTTCAGGAGCTGATGAAAATAAGCCTGCCCCCAGAAACCATTTTTAAAATGGTGTTGCATTTGTCACGGACAAATCCAGAAACTCTGCAGCTGTTGCAGGTTAAAAATTGAGTGGAGATGTCAATTTTTCTGTAGGATCAGTGAGTCCCTCTCCTGGTGTCCTCGGCATAGTTCTGGGCTTGGAACCTGCATAAATGGCACATGGATTTCATGCAGAGGCACTGAGAAATGTCCCTGTGAATAGGATCGCGTGCAGCAGGCTGCCCTGCCCTGAGCACCTTCGCTGGGGTTGCTCACTGGAGTTGACCTATTTGGCTGTAGTTCTCAGAAATGTGGAGCAAAAGGGATTATTGCAGGTGCCAGGCATGCTGCCACTGGCTCTGGCAAAGCATTTTCATCCTAAAGAACCAAAAAGAGGATTAAACACCAACAGGAGTACAACTGAGAGGTGATGCAGTACCACAAAAATGTCTTCAGCTCTCTGCACAGAATTCAGCCCTGCTGTTACCCAGCAGTTACCATTGCACAAATGCATGGCAATTTTATGCATTTTTCCCTCTCTTATGCACGTACTGTTGGCTGTTTTCCTCCCTGCCCCACACCCCTGTCTGTCTGCAAACGCTTTGCATTGGAGCAACCTCTCCTATTTTTTTCTGACTTGGCACCACTGCGCTGTTCATCAGAGGTTGCATGAGGTGTGGGATTATTTTCTTTAGTCCAAGGTGAGGTAATGGCTTCGAAACAGCCGCAGAGGAGGCTTTTCTGTGAGTAATAGCCCAATTAGTTGCAGACTCAGCTGCACGCAGCCAACTTGGCAGGATTTGGGGGCTCCGTCTGCCGACGAGGACACAGAATGGGCTGCAATGTCCCAGTAAATGAGTGCTCAAGTGAAGAAAAGGGAAAAGGGGAAAACAAAATCCATTTACCCCCAAAAACGTAAGGTAATTCTCAGCGGAGCTGGCAGGGAGAGGGAAGGGGAAAATGAGAAAGGAAGTGGAGGTATTTAACGGCGTGGCTGGAATGCCGTACACAGTCAGTGCTTTCTATTTGGGTTTGGATAAAAACTGGAAAAAAGCAGGGAGAAACCCCAACTGACGAGTGAAGCCCAAACCATCCCACAAACCCATTTATTTGGCCCTCTGGGAGTGAAAAGGGAGAAAAATGAAGTGACCCAGCCAGCTTCCGCGCTGGGAGTGTTAGAAATTAAACGGTGCCAGGTGAATTTCCAGGAGCCAAACTTTGGAGTTATGAACAATAACCGAGATTAAAAAGTGCCGTGGCAGCAGGGAAAGGTCAGGCAGGAGATATTAAAGTCAAACATTTCAAAAGCAGCGGGCGCTTTGGCACGGGTCTGTGCAGCTTTTAATCGAGGTGAGAAATCTGCTTCTCTGTGCCGAGAGTCTGAGTGCAGAGGTGAGTCGTGCTGGACAAAACTGTGGGCATCTGCACGTATACACACCTCTATATGTACACACAGAAAGTATTTAGCCAAAGACAGAGGCTTCTTTTTGCTACCCAGCTTGGGGGAGGATGGAAGATTTATGGAGGAAAACAAGCAAATGCTAATTTGTACAGAATTTCAGAGCAAGAGCAGGTGAAACATCGACTCAGGGAGTTCATTTTGCGCTGAGATTTTGAGTTGCAAACCACACGAGTTGGGGTGCTGATTGATTTGGCCCCAAAGAGATTATGCTTCTCCCCCAGCTGTTATTCCTTTAACTAAATCTTGTCATTTATGTCAGACCTGACTACAGCCTGGCAGTGAATCACAGAAACACGGAACTGTAGGGGCTGGAAATAATGCACATTTCCCTAATGCAATCATTAATTTTAATGTTAATCATTAAATTTAATTTTAGTTAATATGGAAATCACCCCAAAACATTCAAGCAAGAACACACACCCTGTGCACAGAGATTTTGGGATGCTTTGGGGTGATGCTGGGAGGACGTGCAGCAATTTGCACATGTGCTGGCAGAGCTTTTTAGATGCATGTTTCACTAAATTAACGTCAAGTTTTTGAAAAGCAAGGCATTTGCTAACACAGTCGTTTACTGCGTTCATCTCATGTATATTTTGCTGGTGGATTTCGTGCCCCATCGCAGCAGCCATTTGGGCAGTGTTGGCCATTGGGACACACACACAAAAAGTTGCTTTTCTGGCTGTCTGCTCACAGTGCTGCAGATGACTCATCTCTGGGCTCAGCACACAGAGGGCTGGCAGAAGCTGGTGTGATTCTGGGAGACAGCAGAAAGCCTGTGTGTCTGACAGCCCTACCTGCTCTCTTTGAACATTGAGAGCACGAGACGAGCGCCGCAGATTTTATCGGGGCTGCGGAGCACTTAGCAAAGAGCACCTGCAATTCCCCCTCACATTACTGCTTTTTCTCTCCTGTTTCCCCTTCCCCTCAGATGACGGCCACAGCCCAGCAGCCCAGCAAGGCTCAGCCCGTGCACCTCTCCGCCGCGCCGGCTCCCACTGCAGCCGTCCCCCCCGCAGCCGGCGACCCGCAGGCGCAGCTGGAGGCCGACAAGCGAGCTGTCTACAGGTGATGCCAGCTAATGGCCTTGGGCAGTAATTAATCCGTGCGGCAGTTTGTTCCTGCATTCATTTTTCTTGTGCGTTGGGAGTGCATTGATTCGGTAATGCACTGATTAATGCATTGATGAATGCAGCAACGCACCGATACATTAATTATGGTAATGCATTGTTAACCCACTAATATTCAAATGCATTCATTAATGCCTGGGAATGGGTGGGTTAGCATTTAGCTCCTTTTTAGCAATAATCGTGCATGATGATGAGCTCCTTGGCCAACCTAGCACCATGGCCAGCAGCACCACACCCCTTCAGGAACACCACAAAATCCAAATTCATCTTTTTTCTTTTTGCAAAATTGTGATTTGAGGCAGAAAATGCACTCAGGAGTAGCAAAAACAGCCATGAACCTGGAATGTGCAGTTTGTGCTTCCATGTGGTGCGCGAGGGGCAGTGGCAGGACCCCTCCTGCCCCCTTATTTTTAGCTGTGGGTACAATATTACATCATATTATAATGTATAAAGTGTTGTAATACATAATATTACAATTATGCAAATAATGTAATTATATAAGTGATACATAATTAATGATAATACCATAATGTATACAGTATATAGCAGATATAGCAGTAATGTTGGGGGTTGGAACCAGATGATCTTTGAGATTCCTTCCAATCCAAGCCATTCTATGATTCTATTGTATGATACCGTCATGTAATTAGGATTAAGGCTTAATATTAAGGAATAACTTCAGCTAACAGCCATGGCTGTGGTTTGGAGATGCCATGCATTTATAAAAATGCATAGAAGTAATTTTTTTGCTGTATATTGGCCTACAGGGTTCCAGTCCCATGTAAAATCTGAATATACATCATTTCATGTAAGATAAGGGTACGTCATTTGATATCAAATGTACTTCTGGCAGCTGGCTGCGTGCCACCCGGTGCTGCATCCTCCACTGTCAGCAATGGATTTTTGTTAATTTTCAGTAATTACACAAAGGCAGGAGGCATTGGCTCTGTGCATTGGTTGATCAACCTGGAGGGAAATTACCAGAAAAATGCAACAGGAAAGAAGGCGGCAATGGGCAAATGACCGCAAAGTCATCACTGGATTTTATGCTCCGGAGGGAGTTCTATCCCCCATTAAAAAATAGAAAAAAAAGAAGGAAAAGCAATCCACTTCCTCTTTGCTATATGACTGAGCATCATTCTGGGGACTAGCCCAGCTGCATCACTTCAGATTTTGGGCCATCATGCACTCAGAACCACTCCTGTGCTCTCTGTGCTCTGGATTTCCTAGTGGGAAAAGTCTGTGCCTCTTTGCCAACCTGCTTTTGGAGAAAAAAAATGCATTTTGAGGCTGGAAAGAAAGCAGCAGTGAGTGTTGTGCCGTGCTGCCCTCCCTGTGCCCATGCTGCCAGCCTGCAGCAGCACCCTGCTGAATGTGCGAAATGAGGCCATTAGAGGGATTCATTTCTCTTTATTAGCCCGTGTCAAATCCTTTTTATTAGCGGCTGCCAACGACCTCTCCTGCAGGAAAATGTCAGGTTCAGCCCTTTATTTGCTTGGTGCCACTGCCGCACGGGCGGCTTCTCCCGCTTATTTGGAGCGGTGGCAAATGGGGTGGAAAGGCTGACCTGTGCACGCTCCAGATTCAGAGGATTGCCCCAAAAACACAGATTTTTGCAAAAGCAGATTTTGCCAAAGCAAATTTTTCCATCCCAAAACTCTTCTCGCTGCTGTGGGGGTGATTCTCTGCCTTTGTGACATCTGTGACGGGGGAAATCCTCCTGGATGTCGTGCATCCCAGATGCCCATCCCATATTTCACATCGAGGCATCCAGATCCCCTGTGCCAGAACCCCGTGGTGCCCATCCCATTCTCCTGCTTTTAGCAGCATGGAAAAGCTGAAAATGGAGAAATCTGTGTAATTTTTGCATGCAAAGGGAAAATAAACCAACAAACAATTGCAACAATTCAGCACCCAGCTCATGGCAGAAGCCTTAATTTCAAGCTCCTGAACACCGTGCTTGAAAAGGGCTTTGGTGATTTTCCTTAGCTTAGGGGTTTTTCATGTCCACCTTTAATTATTTTGTTTTATTTACTTATGATATTTTGTTCAAAATATTTTTATATATATATTTTAATTTTTATATTTTATTATTGTATCACTTATTTTGGTTTATTTTCCTTCCAAATAAAAGCAACCCACACTGCCTCCCCATCCCACAGGCAATTCCTGAAGGTCAGTTATGAGACAGCGGAGCGCAGTGATGTCAGTGGTGGCTTTAATCCCTGTTGGCACCAACAACCCTTCAAAGCAAAGAGGCTACAAAATGCATCTCCCCCCTATAACAACCCCAACCCCTGGGGTAATTTTGCTCCTTCGTACCAGGTCGGTTCGTGCCTTTTCTTCCTAGCTGGTTTTCGAAATGGCATCTGCTGCGAGCCGTGGGTTCATAAGGCCAATAATTCATGCTGCTGCTTGGAATTTGCCGTTCATATCCCTCGGCTGAGCCCCGGCAGGGCGGCTGAAATTACGGAATGATTCCCCCAGCCCCCACAGACTTCTCCAGCCCTGGCAAATCTTGCATTAAACTGGGATCAGGCCAGATTAGACCATAATATGCTGCAGTATTAGTGGCTGCAAATGAAGACTTAGCCCAGGGGTTTAACCCCTTCCCCTGACTCTGGCTTGGAAAAGACCCACAGGAAGCCTAGAGTGAGCCATTATCATTCCTCCTTTGGGCTAAAATTGCTTTTTTTTCCCCAAAAAATGTTGTATACCTGTTTATAAGAGTGCTTATCTGAAGGGGGTGCAGCAAATCCTGTTATACTGAGATAACTGGGGTGCCATTGCTGTGGGGATGGCAAAGCAATCCCATGGCAGCATTCTGCATTTCTCCCCTCAAAGTTTAATAGCTTTATATTTTTTACATTTTCTATTTTTAATAGTTTTATATTTTTAAAGTTGCACAGCCAGAGAAGCTCCCTGTGCTATCTCATGATCTTTGTGTCCTTCTTTTCCGTGTGCTTTGGACTAACACGTATATTTACATTTTATATTGTGTTGATTTAGAATAACTATTAAAAGGAATCCCAATTGGAATCCCAGTGGTGGATTTGCAAAAAGAAAGGCAAGCCTGTCCTTAAAGGGAAATCTCGTGTTAAAAAGGAAGTGAGGTTTGGTCCACCTTCTACCTCATCTTGAACACAGATGTGCTCAAAATAGTCACAAAGAGCCATCGGGATGCAGTAGCAACCCATAAAGCAAAAGCAAGTCGGATGCTTGGTATAAAAGGATGTAGAAATGCAAGCCCGCCCCATCCAGCATCCCCAGCTGACCGACATTTTTGGGAGCCTCTTGGCTTGGATCCCAGTGCAGATGTCGATTCCAGTGCCAAGGCAACTTCCATGAAGCCAAATGTTTTTCTCCACTGCAGAACCATTCTGAAACAGTCAGCACTGGTGCAATGCTGGAAAGTGTGATGATGTTGAGAAACGCCACTTCTAGAGGGGAAATGGTGCATTCAGCAATTCTAAAACTTTGTTTCTTACCTGATCTAGAGAAAGCACATTGGCATGAGATTTTCATCACTAGGCTGTAGCAAGCTGGGAGGGAATGGATAGATGGCTTAGGATAAGAACAGATGAAAGAACTAAAGCAGCTGGATTTATGGGGTGGCCTACTCTGTTGTTCACAGGCACCCACTGTTCCCGCTGCTTACGCTGCTCTTTGAGAAGTGTGAGCAGGCAACCCAGGGCTCCGAGTGCATCACCTCAGCCAGCTTCGACGTCGACATTGAGAACTTTGTCCACCAGCAGGAGCAGGAGCACAAACCTTTCTTCAGTGATGACCCTGAGCTGGACAACCTGGTAGAGTGTGCTGGGGCTTGGTGTAGGGCCTCTGTGGGCTGGGGCTGGAATAGGGGATGAGGAATGTGTTATGGGGGTCTACCAACTTGACAAGATCTTGGGGCAGTGTTTATGACATTGGGCACCTTAACAGTGTTCTCCATGGACCCTGCAAGATTTTTTTCTCCAGGACTTTCTGTGAGATCATCTCCGGCAAGAACGAACTCCAGCCCAAGTTTTGCCTGACTTTCTCACACTTGCACCGCAGAGTCAACACATTTCTGGGAATCAGCCAAGCTTGATGAACAGTTTGTGACCCAGAACTTGTAATCTCTGTTTTTCAGTATAATGTGCAGTCCCATACACTTTCTGCCTGGCACCATCTCAGCTCATTCATGATGGGCAGCTCTTGTCCAACAAACACGGCAAATTGAAGGCCTTTTCCAGAAAAGGAAATGTGTATCAGTGGTTTGGGCCACTTTGAGCTCTTTATAGTGCCTTCTCCACTGTAAATTTTCTACCGTAGCCATTCTGTGCAGGGATTTTGCTTGGGATGGAGCTTTTCTCTTGCAGAGACTTCATGGAATATCTCCAAATCCCATTATTATTTCCAGTAAGCCTCTACACATGATCTCCATGAGAGCTTTGTTGGTGACCACGTCCTTGGCCCCATCCTGGTGCACTCACTGCCTCACAAGGAGATTTTAAGGTTGAAAGAGGAAATTTCACATGCCTGAGATGATGCAAAGACCAAAAGTCCTTCCCCAGGGAATGGTGTGGCCTCTGGGATTTGCTGCAGAGGGATTTCCATCCCAGGAAAGCAACAAATTCAGGCAATTTGCAGGCAGTGAGTTTGTCTGATGACCTGGCAGAAGGAGAAAAAAGTCAAGCAATGCTCATCCAAGTGCAGAAACAAGCACTTTCCTAAAAAGCAATAAATAATTACAAGATTAAAATCCTGCATCTTTTGGACTTAATTCCAGCATTTGGAGGAGAGTTTGGTGAGATCCTCAATTCAAGACTGGATTGGAAGTCTGTGGAAAGCCACCCAAAAAATTAAAGGATGTGCAAAACTGTTTGCAGATTACTAAGCCTATTTTGCAACATCTTGTAGACAAGAAACAAAACTGCTCTGGGATGAATGACCAAAAAAGCAGTGTTTGGGATCGTTTCAGTGCAGATTTAAGGGCTGAATATGCATCAGATGTTTCCCATCCAAAATCTGTTTGCATTCTCCTTCTTTTTGGTTTGTTTTTTTTTTTTTTCTTTTTTGCATTTTTTTAACACCATTGATTCCCTGGAAATCAACAATGGCGAAGTGGGGATGAAAAGGCCAGCGGCATTAGCTATCATTAGAATAAGAGTCATGTATTCCTCGCTGCCGAGATGCACGTAATTAGAAATTAGAAAAAGGTCAGATCTCACCATTATCAACTCAATCAGCTGCCGAGTGCCACACAGTCAATTAATTCAGCATCTGTATTTTTTACAACCCCGCGCACGTACGCCGACGGACTGTAACTCTTTATCCGGACAGATATACGGCGCAGCGGAGCAGGGACATAAAATGAGACCCTAAGCAAATGAGCTGAGATAATTGAGAGATTTATTTTTTATACATATATGTGTCAGGTCCTCTTGCCTTTGCCCTTGAATATTGACTTTCATGGCCGTGAGCCCCTGGAGGATGCGGAGAGCTGGGGCGCGACGCCTCCACCTTGCGCTTCACCCGTGCCAAGCACAGAGGAAGGAAAATATGCAGAAAAAAAGCATAAAAAAGGGAAGTTTTCCATCCGTGCCCCATTGTTCCTGCTATCTGCTGACTGAAAATTTGCTTTCTCCATCGTGGAGCCTCCACCTGAGTTTGGCCTTGGATTTTTCGGGATGTTTCCCAACCTCGATATCTCACAGTTTGTAAAGATGACCACTAAAATTTGCAAGTTAAAAACACCCTTTGAAATGCAAAGACTCTTTGTTACATAAAACTGGATTTATTGCCCCGGAGTGAATAGCTGAAATTTTATATATTATGCAAGATTTCAAACAGCGGCTGTAAAACTTAAGGTTTCAGCTCGGCAAGAGGAATGTTTCATGTGTAAATTTTTTAACATTTATGGGGTACGTTTTAATGAGGCCCAGGCTTTGCACCGGCAACAGCTTACGGCGGTGCTGCAGCCCCATAATCTTGTTAGAGAAAGTGGCCTCTGGAGAATAACCAAACACGTTGCTACATCAGGGCTTTGCCTCAGAATTTTCTGGGAGAAATTCCCATGAAAGCAACAGTAATTTTTGTGAATTTCACCTCTTGGGATCGCAGAGATAGCACGGCTGCGGAGGGAGAAGAAAGGCAGGGGTGCAGAGGGATGGGCTCTGGGGTGGATTTGGGGTGAGAATATCGATTCTAGGGGCTTTTTCTTTCTTTCTTTGGTTTGTTCAGAATAGTAATGCTTTTAACTTTGCTTTTGATGCATGCAGATGGTGAAGGCAATCCAGGTGCTGCGCATCCACCTCCTGGAGCTGGAGAAGGTCAACGAATTGTGCAAGGACTTTTGCAACCGCTACATCACCTGCCTCAAAACCAAGATGCACAGTGACAACCTACTCAGGAACGACCTGGGGGGCCCCTACTCCCCCAACCCTTCCTCCATCAGCCTCCACCCTCAGGTAACACCTTAACACTGCCTGCAATCACCATCCTTGCACTTTGGCCAGCGTGCAAGGCACGCAAGGTTGAGGAATGGTTCTGCAAGTCCTGTGATCTCTGGAAAATTCAATGAAATCCATCACAAATTGAGGAAAACATGAAAAAAAGAATGTATCTTGCACATATGAAGCAAAACGGTGAGGATTTTTTGTTTTCTGAAATAGTTACAAGTGTTTCATGAAAAAATACTATTTGTCCCTGTAGTAGAAGTTCTAGGTCATGGCTTAAAACAGTGATTGAGCACCTGGTGGGAAGGCAGGGCCAGCCCAGGGCAGCTCAGGTGCATGCAATGTACTGAGTGATGGAAGGGCCAGGATCCACCCCTTTCCAGCCCTCATTTAAGGATTGGCAGTAGAGGTGAGGTGATTTTTCTGGAGATCCTTGCATACCTGAGGCTTTCTGCAGGTAAACAACTTTCTTTTATTTTTGCTTCCACAGCTGTTGTGTTTGAGCATATCCTCATTGTAGCCTGGGACCTTGCTGTCACTGCTGTGTTTTCTATTGTTTTACAGTCCCACTTTGTCATCTTCATTTTAAGGCAGGTCTGCAGATTACAAATGCCCCTTTTTGGTTGCTCTGCTCTAGCACATCCTGCAATCCACCACCAGCATGACCAAGCTTAGCACCTTGATTTGTTTGTGTATGCTTCAAATTCTCACCTGTAGAAGGTAACATTTGGTGCCTTAAGTACTACAGATATCCAGAAAGCTCAGCCATTTCAGTTCATATTTTGGCATTGAGTTGCACCTTGGTGTCTTTTTGGAGAAAAACAGGGGATTTCTCCTTCACGTTTGGAAGGAAAATCAGGTGTCCCTTAGGGATGTATTTCTCTCTGATAATGTGCTGCTTGGCTTTTTTTGTTTGGAAAATGAAACTTGGGATTGCACAGTCCTCCCTGAAATAACTGCAGCCAACACACAATTAGTCAGAGGTTCACCAAGCACCTCTTGGCACTATTCCCTGATGGGAAGTAGATGCCAGAGGCTCTTCATGGTGTTGCAGGGTGTTTTCAAGGTGGTGGAAGGGAGAAAAAAGGCATCATTTGTAGCTGCTTAGCTCCAAGTGCTGCACAGTTCAAAACTGGTGTTACACTTGGGGCTGCCTTCTTTCCCCAGCACAAGAAGGGAAAGCATGGAAAAAAAAGTTGTATTTCTTATTTGGGTTTTGTGAAAGCACCAAGCCACTTAATCATTGATCTTAAAAAAAAAAAAAAAAAAAAAGCCTCTCTATTTTCTAATAATCTCTAGAAATGGACTTATTATCCCTTCGCTACTTTATGGAAGCATTCCTTATGATCAAAATTAGCAAGACACTTGCATAAAAGAGAACAATAATTGCTCAACGAGCATCTCGTTTGTAATTTATTAGTTTCTATTATTGTGCGTTGCCACGGCAACAGCTCGCATCCCGGGTGATGAGAGAGATGTTAGATATGAGCCGATGAAGCTCCTGGTCCCAGCAAATGGAGGTGCACGTTTTTATCAGTAATTTTCATGAAAATAATAAGTGAGGGAGTTAATGAGATGGAAAGCCGTCCTGTGGCTATTGTGATTTTTTTTTCCCCCCTTTTTTTTTTTTAAGTGTTGATCTAATTAGAATGCATCAGTCAGGAGAAGTAATGAGGATTTAGCATCTCACAAAGAGGTGGGGATCGTATCAGAAAATTAGCACAAAATTGGAAAATAATCGGGCCGGTGCTGGGGAAGGGGCTGAGCACCTCAGATTCCTGAAATCCCAGAGCTGCCTCCGTTTCCCTTCCAGGCAGGACAGGAATGTTGAGAATTCAAGTGAGGTTTTGGAGATTGTTGCTGAATAAATGGGTGAGACCCAATTGGAGGGGAATGGCACTGCAGGATTGTCACACTGGCTCAGGGACAGGAAGGCTTGCAGCAGGCAACAGGAGCTGAACTATTCATGGTGACAGCTCAGAAGGAGCCACCATCTCCTTGTGCACTGGATGAGGATGACATACCAGTGCTGACGTAAGGGCAAATTTTTTCTAATTACCCAACTCAGCAATGTCAAGTGCCAGAGTGCTTCAGCTCATTGAGTATACTTGAATTTGCGTGGATAAAGCTTAGAAAAACAACAGTGGAAACACTTTTTGTTCATCAAAGAAGCCTTGTAGAGCTGGGGATGCTTCAGAGAACTGAAGAACTGTGAGACTCGTGGTCAAAAGATGGCGAGTGGGATGATTTTGCTAATTATTGTGCTATTAATCTCACACCAAATATATGTGTAACACTTAAGCAGCCTCTATTACAGGAATTTTTTAAAAAATTTAAATAATGGAAATGTGATTAATCAATTTTTGATCTACAAGGCTCTTAGAAAATAGGGTTGTCAGGTTTTTTGTTTTGTTGCTTTTGCTTTGTTTTTTTTCCCAAGGTACAGGATCAATTATTTTGAGAGAAGATGTACCAGGTTAGTTATGAAAGCAAACTGTTTCTGCTCGGGCAAACTTTTTTTGACCACACAACTGCCTGCTTAAAAATGTATGGATATGTCATAACAAGAATGAGAGCTGAAACTGAGAAAGCAACAAGTGGAACTGACAAAATGGGATAATCGCCATTGTATTGATTTCTGTTATGTAAAGCCAACAGGTTCTCATCCCCCATCCATCCAACTGTGCCTCTACAGTGTTGAGTTTGGCCAACTCTTTCTCAACAGACTCATGTTTCTTTTTTTCTCCAGCTAACCCAGATTTTTCCCAGTTTCACACAAGCACAGAAACATTCCAAAAAATTAGGAGGAGATGGAAGCTTTGTACATGTGTGCCACCCAGAAATAAATGACTGCATCATAAAACAAAGTGAAAGGAAATCAGCACAAGCAGCATTGCATTTTAGCGCTTGCCTTATTGTGAGAAAGGGGTGTTTTTTTGCACAATGCAGTATATACCAGGTCCATTTCCTCATTAAAGTGATTTTTAATTTGGAGAAACCATGTTTTGCCATAGAGCTGCAGAATTTTGATGTTGAGATGGATCTGTAGAGACACCTAGTGATGTATTTTTTCTATGCTCAAGTGTAAAAATTGCCAGAAACTTTCCAACTGAAGTCCTGGAAAAACATTTCTAAAATCATCGTGGCAATGTAATTTGGCTGGCATTTGCAATTAGTATGCTAAATACATATTTTAAATCTTCTTGGAGATATCTATAACTATTTTAAGGCAGAGCCTCCACTTCCATTGGATACCTCTGGTTTTGCAGTATTGATGCACTTTCAGATATTCTGAATTATTTCTTCCCAGTGCACTTCCAAAAACAGTCTTCAGGATTCTTGTTTTCTGAGGAACTGCAGAATAATGAGTCAGGGGAAGAGTTTTGCATGTCTCCTGGTGAACATTGCACCCACATCATCACTTGATGTACAATTAATTGATCTGAGTGTTCAAACTATCATCCCCATTGCTTTATTTTTAGAATAAGAGGGGCGATGGCTTTTTCTGACCCAGCTGTGCTTGTGTTTCTGGTGTCACTCCACATCAGTTCTCCAGATAAATCCTCTTTTCTTAGACCAAGAAATAGGTTTGCTGAAGAAATGTATAAAAATGAAGTAAGTTCAAGTAAGGTGGAAAATGCCTTTTGTTGGTATTTTGTTCAGCAGCTGAGGAACAGGACAATGGAGAAGTGAGACAGAATAGGAAAATGGGTAGAAGAGGGAGAAAAAGATCCTCCTTTTTACTGCAAAATGTGAATGCAGCTTTATCTCAGTTACAGCAGGCATATTTCAGATATACATACCTGTCAGGCTTATTTTGGAAGGATAGTTTTCTAAATGCTCTTGGCATGACTCAAAAATCTTGCATATCATGGAAGCTGTCCTGCTTGGCCCTGAGTTCTCCGTATCCTCCCATTGTGACACACTTCACAAAGTATTGTGCTAAATAATCACATAACCTATTTGTGCTCTTTTCCATTTGCAGCTCTTAGGTGAAAGGCTGATGATAACATTACAGCACTTGGGGAAGAAATTTCCATTTTTGCAAGAAGTTAACTTTAAAGCTGCAAGGAATTATGTCAAATGGAGCTGTGTCACTATTTTTTTAAATTATTCTGGCATGGAGAAACTAATAGTGGTTGATTTCTGCTACTCTTATTGGAGATCTATGCTGCTCACGTGCTTTTTTTGGGGGTGGGATGGAGGGGGAGAGTTTAATTTTTCTCAGAGCAGTTTATGGTGTTTTCCCTTTGAGGAGAAGCTGCTTCATCAAGTTCCAGACAAAGGAAAAAAAAAAATAAATGTGTAGATAGGAAGACAATATAATTATTTCTTTCTTGTCATCTGTGTGGTATTGTTTTCACTTATTGAAAATAGTGGCTGCACAAAGAGGTGAAGTTGCTTAGACACGAGTGGGAGCTTTGCAAAGCATAATTCCTTGTTTTTCCATATTTTATTTCCAGCTGCGACAAAAGGAGGGGAAAACAAAGCTCTTATTGCACGTGACAGAATGCTTTGAAGTCTTTTCTTCTCTTTCTTGCAGGAGATGCTGCAGAGCTCACCTGCGGCGCTACCAGCCGCCTCCAACCCCCCACCGGGCATCGTGGTGCCTGCAGCTGCGCTGCCCCCAGGCAACCTGGCCATGGGCAGCGGGGCTGGATCACCTGCCGTGCCAGGTAGGGCCAGCAGGGAGGCTGGGGGGGGTCAGCCCTCTGCACGCAGCACCCCCATGAGCCCTGTCTTCCGCAGGTGGAGCCCTGTACCAGCCAGTGACAATGGTGACATCTCAGGGCCAGGTCCTTGCCCAAGCCATCGCCCCTGGTGCCCTGCAGATCCCCAACGCCCAGGTAAATCCTAGAGCCACAGAGCATCCTGAGCTGGAAGGAACCCACAGGGGGCATCAAGCGCAACCCCTGGCTGCGCACAGCACCACCCAAACACAAAGCATGTGTCTGAGAGTGGTGTCCACGCCTCCAGTCGTAGACCCAGGGCTGCCCCATCCTACACACAGAGTCTGGCATTTCCATCATTTAAGGATGAGAGGTGGTGGCCTCACCTTGTGCCAGGGGAGGGTCAGGTTGGATACTGGGAAACATTTATTCTCTGGAAGTGGTGGTGTGCTGGCACAGGTGGCCCAGGGAGTGGTGGGGTCCCAGTCCTAGAGGTGTTCTGGAGCTCTGGAGTCAGTGGGCATCATGGGAGAAGGTTGGAGCTGGGGATCTTGGAGGTCTTCTCCAAACTTAATGATTGTATGTTTCTATGATTGTTAAACTTCATGTGGTTGCTGCTTGCTCTGCTATCAGATCTCACAAGGTCTCTCTGCATTTCTTCACCAAGTTCCAGGGAAGTTGCAGTCTCAGGTTTATTTTTGTAGGGTGAAAGATCTGCACCAAAACACCTCAGTATCGTTTATCTTCTGGGGACCACAAGCATCATCCATCCCATATGGCAGTGCTCGTTTTTTCTCTTTGTTATTGTGACCTCATGAATTTGGGGTGGCTTTGAGGCATCTGTTCTATTTTCATTCCTCTTCTGATCAGCCATGCTGGGTTTCTCTGCTTTTTTGCAGCAGGACAATGATTTAGGGTAGAAATTGCTTTATAGGGATAACTTGCCATCCCTGTTTACATGCAGCCTGCATCATCCACAGTCTTTTACAAACACTGTCATTCCTCAGGAATTTGGGCAAAGCATATCACTCTCCCCCACGCTGCTCCCTGGGGGCAGATCAGCCTCAATTCCCCCATGCACATTCTTAATGGCAGGAGCCTCCTAACGCTATCAGACATAAATGCATGTGGAAAAAAAGGATATTTTGGAAGGAGGAGACACCTCCGCAGCAGGCTTTAATGCCTTCAAGGCTTCTTTTCTCCTTTCCCTCTTTAATATCTTGCCGTCACCAGCTTGGATCTTGCAGCAAAGCCCTCTGAGGTGCAAGAAACAGACGCGCGGGGAATATCAGGGCAGGGAGAGCAGCCTGGACAAGCACCTCCGGATGCTCTTCCTGCGCCGCCAGCGTGATTTATTCATCTGGAGCTCATGGGAGCGCTGGGACCTGCCAGGCTGATGTTTAATTCATCCAGGAGAAGCGTTTTGATGAAGAGCTGGGAAAAAAAATCTTTTTAACTGAGGTTTCAGTTCTTTTCCCACGACATCATTAAAGCTTCTCTTGCAGCATCCCGGTGTATTTATTTTTAATTTTTTTCTAAAAGCAGTGCATTTTCTCACAACGTTTCTCCTCTATTAATTGGAATAAGCAGAGTGAGGAACAAGGAGTTAACGAATCACAGAGTTTTAACCTCAGGCTGTAAAAAATAGTTCTCTGTTTTGTTGTGGTATTTTTATTATGGTAAATTATCCTCCTTAATTGCATGTTGAAAGTTGGCATGGCGTTGTCCCCACTGGTGCCACTGCAGTTGGGAAAAGCCAATTGCCCTTTGCAAAACTGGGTGCAAAAATGAAGATACTAAATGGGCAAACAGATTCTGGTGGAAAATGGGAATTTAATGCAGATTTTGGGAAACTGATGGGATTTGGGAGGTTCTTACCACGGTCTGTTTTTCCTGCTCCGCTGTTCCCGTTTTGAGTTCATTTTTGTTTGGGTTTCTTGGGTTGCTGATCACCTTTTTGAGCTGATTCTCTTCCTGGCAGGTGAACCTGGATCTCACCTCACTCCTTGATGGCGAGGACAAGAAATCCAAGAACAAGCGGGGCGTTCTGCCCAAACACGCCACCAACATCATGCGTTCTTGGCTCTTCCAGCACCTCATGGTGAGCATCATAGCCACTGGTGCACCCTGCAGAGCACACTCAAGGGGTTGCACAAGGGAAAAAAGTCTGCTTTGAAAGTTGGAAAGAAAAAAAAAAAAATGTCCTTAAATCCTTCAAAATGAACAAATTGAAGTGGTGGTTTGTCTCAGTTTGAGATATTTGAAGGCACAAAGTGGCTTTGCTTTTATTTTGGGAGCATTGGGGGGGTGAGTGTTTTCACTGCTGGTGGCAAAATTATGACCTTGATGTTTAGCAAACAAAACCAGAGGGGGAAATAAGCCAAATGTCTGATTTTCATCCACATTTGCAGATATGTGAAGAAGGGTTCTGTACAGTTAACGGCTCCAAGATGCCTTTTTCCAGCAGTCAGGGTGGAAATTTCTGACAACCATTATTAGAAAACAGTAGAGAAAATTGCTAAAACTAACAAAAAAAATTCTCTTCTCCTTCAAGTAAAGCTTTTGGTGAAGAGCATTGGCAAAGAGTTAAGGATGCAGGGGAGACAATGGTTCCTTGCACATGCAACAAGTCATCAAACTGGGGCGGGAGGGATGGAAAAAAAAAAGGTGTCATTTCCCCTGATTGGGGCTGCTGCTTTACATACATGGATGTCATTTTGTTGCCCATCTATCTTCCAGCACCCCTATCCCACGGAGGATGAGAAGAGGCAAATTGCTGCCCAAACCAACCTGACCCTCTTACAAGTCAATAACTGGTGAGCACACTGGTGGCCTGTGCTGTCACCTCACAGATTTTATGGATTTTGAACGATTCTGTCTCATTTAGTCTATTTTTAGGGATTGGGTGAATGGTTATGGGTCATTTTTAGGCAGTACAGTGGCTGTGTGCTTAGTTAATTGTTGGACTTTGATGATCTTTATGGGTCACTTCCAACTTACTGATTCTATGAATCCAGTGTTCATTTGTGAAGTCTCAATGCCCTCTCCTGGCAATTTCAACATAGCAGCCAGTATTTTCCCTCCTGCAATTAATAGCTGGAAAAATTAGAGCAATGGCTTAACATGCCACAGACAAATGAAACAGGCGTGTGGCTTGGGAAATGGGATAGAAAAACAGTTTTCTGCACCATGAAACCACTTCTGAAAGGACTTTATTGTAATTATATATATAAAAATAAGATAGCAATTCATTAAATTGTTATTGTTTACTTAATATAGTAATTAAAACAGTTTTTAATTGAATGGCCGCTTTTTTCTTGGGAAAGGTTCATCAATGCCCGCCGGCGCATCCTGCAACCAATGCTTGATGCCAGCAACCCAGACCCAGCCCCTAAAGCCAAGAAAATCAAATCTCAGCACCGGCCCACTCAGCGGTTCTGGCCCAACTCCATCGCTGCTGGTGTCCTTCAGCAGCAAGGTGGCAATTCAGGGACGAATCCTGATGGTAAGGAGAATCCTGGTGGCCCCTGCTTCTCCTGGATAAGGCCATGCATTATATTATGGCCTGATGTTGGTATTTAAAGATTAAAGGAAAAACACGTTGAAGTAGCCCATACACAACAGGCCATCCAGTTGGTCATCGCGAGGGTGATGGCAGTGGGGCCACTTGTATGGCAGTGTCATGGTTCTCTTGTGACAGGCACCACCATCTCATTGACATGGGGATGATCCTCTTGCTGAGGTGTTTGGAAGGGGAAAGTAGAGAGGAGATGAGATTAAAGCAGAGAGAGGAGAGGAGAAGGGAGGGGAGAGGAAGAGAAAGATGAAGTGAGAAGGTGAAAGGAATATTGCCCGAGAAGCTGTCCATCCATCCCTGGTGAAGGCCAGGCTGGATGGAGCTTTGGGCAACATGATCTACTGGGAGGTGTCCACACAGCAGGGATTGGAACTGGATGGTTTTTTAAGGTCCCTCCCAACTCAAACCATTCTGTGATTCTACAATAATTCTATGTTTCGATGAAGAAAGAAGATGAAGAGAAGCTCTGACAAACCGTTTTGGGCATCTTCTTCCTGAAAAGTTAGTTTCCTGTTATTTAGTAAACATACAGCAGTTAAATGTAAGATTTAGACCTCAGGAGATGGGTGGAGCAGATGGGGCCCCCGACATAGTATTTTGTGTAGTACAGCTGTCCCTTTGTGTTCTATTAGGTTTATACACTTTTCTGTCCTTGTTATATTATCCAGGGAGTCTTTATTTTTACCTGTTTAATTTCAGGCTCCCTTGCCATGGACAACCTGCAGCCCCTCTCATCAGCCACGGCCACCATGGCCATGCAGCAGGCCATGCTTGCAGCTCACGAGGACTCCCTAGATGGCACTGAGGAGGACGACGATGAGGAGGATGAGGACGAGATGGAGGAGGAGGAAGAGGAGGAAGAGGAGCTGGAGGAAGAGCCCGGTGGCCTCCCAGCTGCGCCTGGTGCTAACCTTGGCTTGGACCACAGTGACTCACTGGAGTAGCTCACCCTGTGTGCTCCCCAAATCATGGATGGCACCAGAAGAGACCTCTCCCAGAGTGACAAAAAACAGCAAGAAAACAACAAATTGGTGAGGAAAAATCTAACTGTGGAGGCCCTGACAGATGCCCTATCTGCCTGTGGGAGCACTGGGGCCACCACATCAGCACATGGCAGTGAAGGACACGTGTTTACAAGGCACATATTGTGGCCGGATTTTTTTTGAGGTTTTCTTTCAGGTTTTATCCTTGTTTTCTCCCTTTTCCCTTCATTTTTGGTAATGAAAGCATTTATAGGGGAGGCTATTTTCCCCACTGTGCTCAGATGCCACCATGGGCTGTTGCATCCTCTTGGATTTCTTGATGCAAAAAAACCCCCACAGAAACAGGATTGATGTATTTTTGGGGGAAGCTTCCACAAAGAAAGGTCATTCACATAAATATCAGCATGTGGAAAAAAAATTGCCAAGTTTCCAATTCTGCTTCCTATCAGATTGGAGGAAAATTTCATGCTTTTGACCCACAGGATTGCTCAGATGTCCCTGTCTTGGCCCCAGTGCTGTGGCCATTTGGTGACTCTACGTGCGACTTTCAGGAAAAGAAAGTCCCCAAACTCTTTAATTTATGTGCTAAAAACCCATCAAATCTGGAAAAAATATTCAGCCTTGTCCTTCAGGGCTGAGACTGGATGCAAAGTTGGGCTGGATGTGAGGCTGAGCAAGACCTTTCCAAGGTGTTTTGGTACCAAATAGGAATAAAACAGCAGCCTTTCTCCCCAAATTGAATAGTGATTTGCCCAGGAGGAAGGAGATTCAAAAAGATGGTATCTCCCCAGTGTCATCCACCTGCGCAGGAAAACACTGGGTTTCTCACCCCCAAGTGCCACAAGTGAGCTGTTAGGGGGCAGCTGTACAAAAACACTGTGTTCGGGGGCTTCAAGTGGTAGCAAAAAGGCAAATTCTGCCTTAAAACATGAGAATAAAAGCAGCCCAGGTAACACAGGGCATCTTCTCAGTTCCATGGAGGTTAAAAAAAAAAAAAAAAAAAAAAGGATTTTTTTTCCTGCAAGTTCTTCCCCAGCAGTGTGGGGTTTGTTCTTCTGTAATAAGGAAGGATTTTGTCGGCTGCATGAATTGCCAATTTTGACCTTCTTTTGGCTCTTGAAGAGTTGAGAAAAAACAGCAGCCGCAGCCAAACAGGCCGCAGCAACAAAGTGATGCAATGGGCAGCAAAGCCTATTTTTCAATACTGATCTGGCGTGAATGTAATCTGTAATTTCATAAAGGATTCATTGTAATTTAGTATTAATTCATGTCATTTATTATAAAGTGCTACGAGATGAGGTTTTGCAGCTGTATTTTATTGTCAGCTTCTTTCTAGTGGAGGTGAGGATGATGAAGGACAAATGGAACGCCGGAATAGGTGAATAACCCCCAAATGGGCAACCTATAAATAGGCATATTTTCCTAAAATGAGTGAATTACTTCAAATCCACAAACGAGTGGTGCAACCCCAAAAGGATTCGTACTTACGAAAGTGATATCCCTCTGTGAAGATCTCTGAGACTGAGTGATTTACCTCCAGTATGAACTATGCTTCCCCAAAATGAGGGACTATCCCCAAATATGAACTCTGCTTCTCTAGATATGCAATGTGCCTCCAAATGAGTGACGCATTCCAAAATCAGTGGGAGCTGCCCTGACACCAAAATAAGCACTATGCCACCGAATGTTGCTTCCCAAAAATGAGGAATGCTCTTCAAATATGATTAACTGTCCCCTAGAATTTGTCTCTTCCTCCAAAATGAGTGTCTTTTCCCACAGATGAGCAACCAAAATAAGTGACACACCCCAAAGCAGCGTGATTCTTCCCAAAATGGAATCCTTGCCTATTAAGCATCCAGCAGCTTGTTACCCCAAAATATACCTGTTTTGCAAAATGCTGAATAACCATGACCCACAAAAAGTACATTTTTCTACCCAAAAGCTGCAAAATAACTTTTTTCCCCTGCGTAATGCAGGATGAGAGGGTTTTGGACCTGCTCCATCCCCTGGTTAACCGGGGATGCCTCAGTGGAGTGGAGACTGGCAAATGTGACACCCATCTTCCAGAAGGGCTGGGAAGATGATTGTGGTAGCTACAGACCTATCAGTCTCACCTCAGTGCCAGGGAAGGTTATGGAATGGATAATCTCAGGAGCCATCACGGATCAATTAAAGGTCAGCCAGGGGATCAAGCCCAGTCAGTGCGGGTTCATGAATGATAGATCCTGTTCGATATACCTGATTTCATTCTATGACAAGGTGAGCTGCTTAGTGGATGAAGGTAAGGCTGTCGATGTGATTTACCTGGACTTCAGTAAAGCCTTTGACGCTGTTCCCCACAGCATTCTCATGGAGAAGCTGGCTGCCCATGGTTTGGATGGGCGTACGCTCCACTGGGTGAAACGCTGGCTGGATGAACAGGCCCAAAGAGCTGTGGTCAGTGGAGTTAAATCCAGTTGACTGCCGGTCATGAGTGGTGTTCCCCAGGGCTTGGTACTGGAGCCACTTCTATTTAACATCTTTATTAATGATCTTGATGAGGGGATTGAGTGCACCCTCAGTAAGTTTGCAGACGGCACCCAGGGAGGAAGTGCTGATCTGCCAGAGGGGAGAAAGGCACTACAGAGGGACCTGGATAGACTGGATCAATGGGCTGAGATTAATTGTATGAGTTTCAATAGGGCCAAGTGTCGGGTCCTGCATTTTGGTTGCAACAACCCCAGGCAACCCTACAGGCTTGGGGAGGAGTGGATGGAAAGCTGCCTGATGGAAAGGGACCTTGGTGTACTGATGGACAGTGGGCTGAATATGAGCCAGCAGTGTGCCCAGGCGGACAAGAAGGCCAATGGCATCCTGGCTGGTATCAGGAATGGTGTGGTGAGCAGGACCAGGGAAGTCATCCTGCCCCTGTGTTCGGCACTGGTGAGGCCTGACCTTGAGTACTGTGTCAGTTTTGGGCACCACAGTACAGAAGGGTCGTTGAGGTGCTGGAGCAGGTCCAAAGAAGGGCAACAAGGCTGGTGAAGGGCATGGAGAATATGTTCTACTAGGAGTGACTGAAAGAACTGGGGCTGTTGAGTCTGGGGAAAAGGAGGCTAAGGGGAGACATTATTGCTCTCTTCAAATACCTGAAAAGTGACTGCAGAAAGAGCAGGCTCGATCTCTTCTTACTGGTGACAGGACGAGTGGAAATGGCCTCAAGTTGCACCAGGGTTAAGTTTAGGGTGGGTATCAGGACGAACTTCTTTATAGAAAGGGTTGTTAAGCAATAGGCTCCCCAGGAGGTGGTTGAGTCACCATTCCTGGATGTGTTTAAAAAGTTTGGATGTGGTGCTCAGGGACGTGATTTAGCAGAGGGTTGTTAGAGTTAGGGTAGTATGGTTAGGTTGCGCTTGGACTTGATGATCTTTTAAGGTCTTTTCCAACCTGAGCAATTCTATAATTCTATTAATTGAATGCAGGGGAAGAAGACACAGGATGCCAGTTGCTTAATTAATGAAACAAATTATTTATTTCCCAGCTGTGCAAAGGTTTGGGGGGATGTGGGCCGGGGAGGTGCAGGTGACCTGTTTCCATGTGACTGGCCCCATTTCTGGGGGTACTGAAGTTTGGGGGTGCAGGGTTGCACTGCATCAGGTTGGGCAGAGCACTGCAAAGAGAAAGGTGAGCGTGCACAAGTGTGCACGGGGCTGCACTAAGGTGCAGGAGGCTGCAGAGTGATGCATAGGTAACAGGGCTGCAGGAGGGTTCACAAGGATGTGCAGGGCTGCACAGTGATGCATGAGTGTGCAGTAGGCTGCATGAGTATGCATGGGGGTGCACATGTATGCTTGAGGGTTTGTATACACAACTATGTGTGAGCATTCATGAGTGTGCACAAGCATTCATAATGAGGGTGCTTATGTTTGAATGAGGCTGCACAATAGCTGTAAATGGAATGTAAGAGGATACAGGAGGAAAACAGAAAGGATGCATGAGGAATTCACAAGGCAGGTACAAAAGGGAGCACAGGGGATGCACTAGGGCATGCAGCGATGTACAAAGAGCGCATGGGGGATGCACAAAAGATGCAGGAGAATGAGCAGGTGATACACAAGGGATGCCCAGGAGATGCATGAAGGATGCATGAGGCACACAAAGGAGATTCAAAGGAGAGAAATGCACAATGGTGCATTAGGGGTGCCCAGGCATCCCCAATGGATGCAGAAGGGCCATGGATGGATACACAGGGGATGAAGGAGTATGGACAGTGACATATGAAGGCCCATGAGGATGCTGTAAGGATGCAGGAGGGATGCTCAGGAGATGCACCCAACGTGCAAGGGAGATGTAAGGGATGCACAAAAAATGCATGAGCACTGCATGAGAGGTGCATGAGGGTAAGGGAAATGTAGAAAGGATGCACAGTGATAAAATGGGGAATGCCATTGGGGTATGGAGGATGCAGGGGGGATGCACGGGGCACATGCAGGTACCTTTAAGGATGTAGTCCGTCAGCAGCGTGGGCACCTTCTCATTCCCCTCCTTCATGGCAAACAGGACTGCACAGTGGAAAAGGACCTTGAGCACAGTCCATGTATCCCACATACCCCTATTCTGTCCCCAGACAGCCCCACACCATCACAGAGGCACTACCACAGTGTACCCATCCTGACAGTAGCCCAATGGAGCATTTTCACCCCTATCAACCACACTCAGGTGATGCAGAATGGAGTTTTCCACCCAAGTTGGCACTGAGGTGGGCTGTAAAAATGGGAAAGGGGGCGGGGGAGGACCTGCAAATCAGCTGTGCTACAGCAATGCAAAATGGGGAACTGTACCCCAAACTGCTCTGGGCATGCTGATACAAAATGAATAATTGTGCCCCACGTTGGCCATGCCAAGGGGGTACAAAATGTCTCCCAATGTGAGTGGATCACAGTGATGCAAAAACCAACAGCAGCCATGCTGATGCGAAGCTTTGATTTGCTGCAGTGGTGCAAATGAGACAACTCAGACAACAATTTCTCAGACAACAATGTCTGAGAACTCACAATGCTTCACTGATATAAAATAGTGTTTCTCCTCCAAACCAGCTGTGCTGCATTAGTGTCATGCATCTGATTGCAAAAAAGGTGGCTGCACCCCCAACTGGCTGTGTTGAAAAAATGTAAAAAAAAAAAAAAAAATCATCTAAGTTGTGGGCACTGCAGCAATGCAAATTGTGTGTTTGTGCTCCAAATTGGCCACGTTATGGTGATTCAATATGGGTCAAGCAAGGACTCACTGTTGGTGAGCATCTGCAGATCCTCAACGGAGGGCGGCGAACCCTTCTTCTCATAGGGAATCACTGTGTTCAGATACTGCAAAGCAGAAAAATGCCCCCAAAACACCTCCATGCCATGAAGCTGTCTCTTTTTTACACCTCACTGATGCAAACCACCCCAAATTGGTACAAAAGCAGAAGTGCAAAATACAGCTGCAACTTTCCAGCAATTGCATTTAATTTACAGATGTTTGGGGGGCTATTGAGTTAAGAGGATACTGCAGAAGTTGTGCTCAAATGCACATGCACCCCTAGCTAGGGAGGACTGAAGGGATGAAAAAGGGCAAAAATGGCACACAAAGGGGTGTGCAGAGCAAGGAGTGGAAGGGGACAGATTTTGGCAAGTCGAGGGGAAAAGGCACCTGCTTCTCGTTCGCAGTGGGGCCAAAGGTCTGACGCAGGCCGGATTGCAGGATGCTGGAGATGCCCTCCATGCTGAACCTCTGGGAACATGCATTATCCTGTCACCTCCTGGCATAAGAACACCACCCTGGGCACCAATATCCCCCCATCTCCCCGACCCACCTCCCTGTCACCCTATCCCATCCTCACATCCCCACACCATGTGTCCTGTACATGTCCAATGTCCTCCATTTGCTCAATCCCATGTCCCTTCATCTCATCCCGTCTGATCCTATGCTATCCTATCCCATCTCATTCCATCCCATTCTACCCCATCCCACCCCATGCCATCTCCACATCCACAGGACCCCACACCCCACCTCCCCCAGACTCACGTCCATATGTCGGTCAACCCCATCCCCACCTTTCTGGGCATGTGTCCCCCACGCTCGGGACGACCTCCTTGCAGGCTGAGCCCACGGTCGCGGCGGCGGCGGCGTGCGGCCTCCCGCTGCTCCCGCTGCTCCCCCTGCACGGCCAGCAGTGCCCCAATAAACGCCGTCTTCACCTCTTTCTCGAAGGCCAGCTCATCCCGCCGTGCCAGCTGGGCCACCAGCTCAGCCGACAGTGCCCGGCTCGCTGCCTCTGCGCGCCCTGCTGCCGCTGCCAGCTCCCCGGCCGTCAGCTGCTCCAGCCCTGCCGCCAGCATCATCGTTAGGGTGCACAGCGTGCATGCACTGTACAAAAAGGCCTTACGTGCAAGGTGCAGTTGGTGGGATGCCTGGGATGCCCAGTGCAATGCATGTTGTAGTTAGCAAAGGTCCAGTGCAATGAGTGACATGCATGGTGCAGTGAGTGTTATTTCTGATGCAGTCAGTGAAAGGCGCGGTATATTAGTTAAGCACCTGGTGCAATTAGTGACATGCACATTGCAATTATGGAATGTCTGGGGCAACTAATGGCATTCCTCATGCAGTGAGAGCTACCCCTAGTGCACTCAGCAAAAGCACAGTGCATGAGTGAAATACCTGGAACAATGATCAAAATGAATGATGCAATTACAGGAATATCTGAGGCAATTAGTGACATGCATCGTGCAATTATTTGAGCATGAGTTACAGTCAGTAAAATTCTAGGGATAATTAACAAAATGCACACTATAATCAGTGAAATGCACACTGTAACCTTTTTACTGCTTTGTGATCAGTGAAATGCTCAGTGCATTGCTGGAGCACCCAGCACTGTCATAGCACAATTGCTGAAGTGCCCGGTGTCAGAACAAAGTGCCCTGAGCAATTATGGAAGTGCCTGACGCAATTAATGGCATGCATGGTGCAGTAAATGAAAAGCACTAAGTACAGTTAGGGAATATACAGAGCAATTATCAAAATGCCTGGTAAGATTAGGGAAACCCTCTCTGCTGTCAGTGAAACATAGACAAGGTATATCTGGGGGAAAACCTGGTGCAATTATTAAAAAGTATCATAAAATTTCCCATGTATTTTGGAAAATGTCTGGTGTATGGTGCAAGTCAGCAAATTAGGAAAATGCACCAAGCATGGCTCAGGGAAGACCTTGCTGCATGCAGTCATACGCATGCAGCAGTGCCATCAGAAAAGTGCAGAATGCAAATAGCGATGCACAGAACAAGTGAGACATTTTTTCAAAATGAACACGTCAATTGCGTGGCATGCTTAGAATGGCACGTGTCACTTAGCAGCATGCACTTAGTGCAGTGCACAATGCTGGAGACATTTTGCAAAACGTGCTCATGCTTGTTGAAACACAGGACCATCTATAACCATGCTATAAGAAAGATCTCAGAGGGCTCATTTTTTCCAGAGAGCCACCTCCTGATGTCCAATTTGGTGAAAATTGCACCCAGAAAGGGCTGTGCGTGGCTCCTACTGCCCATACCTTCATGGGAGCAGTTGTTGTTGAAGGTGGGGGAGAAGGTGTGCAGCTCACGCAGGATGATGGGCTCCATGCCTCTGCCTCCATCATCACCCTCTGCATTGGCCTCAGCATCCTCTTCCTCATCTTCTTCCTCCTCCTCATCCTCATCACCCTCAGGATCCACCTCAGGGTCAGGCGAGCTCTGCATCAGCTCCTCCAGCTCCTCAATGACCTGTGAGGCACCAGTGTCCCACATCTGCACTCTGTAGCCCACATCATCCCACATCTGCACCCTGCATCCAACATCTGAGTTTTGCAACCTTGTCTACAGATATGCTCTACTATCCCAAAACAAGTGGATTTAGCCTTTTTGTGTCCTGAGCAGTGTGAGCCCAGTGTTACAGAGACGTCCACGTGTCTGGGTGTAGGTACCTGCTCAGCTGTCAGCAGTGGTTCCTCATTGATGCCTGAGTCGTGTTCGCTTCTCTCAGCAAGCTCTTCCTCTTCATCTTCCTTCTCACAGAGCTGCAGGAGACAAGCTGGTCACCTTGGTGGCACCACAGGCACTGCCTGGTGCAAGTACGGGAATGGCAAAGGCACAGGCATAGCCCTGTAGCTCATGGGAAGAACTACCAGAACCACAGCACTGCGGATGCACTGCCTGTGGGGCTTACACTGGAGAGATGTTGGATGGAGATGCTGGATGGGAGATGCTGGATGGGAAGAATTGACAAGGAGACATTGGATGGGAGAGCTGGATGTAGCTGTTGGATAGAGACAGTGGATAGGGGTTTTGGATGGAGGTGTTAGATCAGAGGCATTGGATAGGAGTATTGTATGGAGAGATGTTGACGTATGAGGTGTTTGATGGAAACAATGGATGGGGATGTTGGATGGGGATGCAGTGGAGGATCGTACTGGCTGGGGTTGCCGGAGGTGTTAGACAGAAACTTCAAATGGTGATGTTGGGTGGAAATGATGGATGGGGACAAGTTTGATGGGTGAATCATAGAAACGTAAAATTGCTCAGATTGGAAAAGACCTAAAAGATCATCAAGCCCAACCGCAACCTAACCATACTATCCCAACTCTAACAACCTTCTGCTAAATCATGTCCCTGAGCACCACATCCAACCAGTTTTTAAACACATCCAGGGATGGTGACTCAACCACCTCCCTGGTCAGCCTATTCCAGTGCTTAGCAATCCTTTCTGTAAAATGTTTCCTGATATCCAACCTAAACTTCCGCTGGTCCAATTTGAGGCCATTTCCCCTCATCCTGTCACCAGTGAGAAGAAACCAGTCCCACACTCACTGCAATCACCTTTCAGGTACTGGAAGAGAGCAATAAGGATGCTGCATGAAGAGACTGAATGGAGACAACACGTAAGGGAGATGACAGGGAAATTTTGGATAGTGAAGCCATGGAAGGAAATAGATGGAGGTGGTGGATGAGGATGCTCTTCTCTAGTGACAGGTTGCACAACATCCAAACAGGCTCAATTCAGTGGATTTTTTATGCCGTCCCACAACCCCAAACATAGCTCTTCATAGCATGAACTCATTACAATGAAGTAAACAGTATTTTCCTCCCAGTTTGGGAACAGATTGGCAAGGACCAAATTGCCAAATCAAGTACTTAATCTTACCCTTTATAGTCACTGTCCCTTGGAATACATACATCCCCTACATTAGGGATGCATGTAAGGACAGCCACCCAAAAATGCCATTTGTAGGTGGTCTTGAGTGCCCTGGCTCTGCTCCTCCCCAACAGTTGCTGAGTCTTGGGGCTGACAGACAGCTGTCAATCACCATGAGGGTCACACGGGGACAACAGGGCTTCGGGGTGCCAAGGGTGTCACAGCCATACCTGGGGATTGGTGCCATCAGGGGCCTCAGCGTCAGGGTGCATCCAGGGCCGGGGGGAGCCTCGGGGGACAAAGCCATCAGTGAGAGCATCCCAGACTCTGCAGGGAGGTAGTGGGGTTGAGTGGGGATCATCAAAACACCTCAAAATGCCCCAAAGTGCTGCCTCCCAGAAAGCCATCCTGAAACAGCATGCCAAAATACCACAATGCATCCCAAAACGAGCCCCAGGACACCCTGAAATATTCTTAATCATTGCCTGGTGGTCACTCCCTCACCACCACTGAGATGTGTAAAACATCCCAAAACATCCCAAAACACCCCAAATTCTGCCTCAGAACACCTTAAAAAAGTGTGCACGTTATCTGTATCTGTAGCATAATCCCAGTTCCCCCTAAATCACCCCAAAACAGCCTCCCCTCTCTAATTGCCCCCAGCTCCAAACCAACCATAAAAACGCTCATTTTGGGATATTCATCTCATCTCCCTCCTCATCTGATTTTAATTTCCTCTTATGCACATATTTCACAATGCATAAAAATGGGACATTAAAAAAAATTCGTATTCCCAATTTTAAGAAAAAAAGCAACAAATAAAGAAAAAGCAAAAATTTGCTTCTTTTCTGCTCTTAAAGAACCAGCACCTTGCAGAATGAGCCACAGATTTCCAGGTTAATTATGGCAATAGCTGGTTAATAATTAGAGGAAAGCGGTGCCTTTAAGGCCTCCACCCATCCCCCATCCATGCACACAGGGCTCATTGAGGAGTGGGGAAAAAAAAAGCCTGTTTTGCCCAAACTGACCCAAAATGACACAATCCACAGCACAAAGTGGCACCATGGGCTGCTGGTGGCAGTGCTGCCTTCCGGGCGTTCTGCCAAAATGCATTTTTTCTCTGCAAAAAGACTGATTTTTCACAGAAAAAATACAAAAACAGCTGAAAAAAAGATCTGGGAGCTTTTGGTTTGAAAATAACCACTTTGCTTGGTGAAAAATCAGCATTAGGAAGTGCAGCCTGGGGAATAATCTCAATTAAACAGGCAAAAAGAAATCCGTTAGAAAGGTGTTTGTATGTCAACACCCCTGGACAAAAATAAAATAAAAAACATAAATTCTGCCCCCTACATGGCCTTTTGCTACCAAGAAAAAGGTTTTGAGTGAAAATTAGATTTCAATGCAAATGCCACTATGATGCTTTTGGCCGGACAGGCAGCACTGGGCAGATTTTGCCCCCACTTTGTGCACAGTTTTACATTGCAAGGAGGGGGCTGAGCCCTACTCACACCTTACTCACAGTTCACACTTACCCCTGGCTCTCCTCACAAAGCCTGGGCCGCTGCAATGTGGAGCATCTGATGTGCCTACTTGTGGATACTACAGATACTCCACGGTATTGCATTACCATGCTGTGAGGGAAGGGCCTGTTTTGCACCTGGAGGGTAACCTGCAAGCACTCAAGGAGGTGCACAGCCCCCAGATGTGCCCTGCTCATAGGACACAACACCATTACCCGCACAATCATGTTGCAATGGGGTAAGCAGGTTTCCATGCTGGGGGTGAGGTGTATCTCAGAGTGCTGCGCAGAGGCATGCAGGCCCAAGTGTCCTATGTGTCCTATTTGTAGGACACCACACAGAAACTCCATGCAGATGCACAGCTATGCCATGATGTAGGGGAAGTCTCAGAGGTATAAGGAGGCACAGAGGCCCTAAGGGAGCATACTCACAGTCTACTGCACCAAAACTTTGGTGCGCTGCATGATCATGCAACAACACGGGGATGGGAATGCGAGGAGACCCATGTTCCCAGCAGGAAGGGGCCTTACTCACTCCTCATCCTGGAGGTGCTCCTCCTCCTCCTGTGCCTGCAGCCGGCCTCTCACAGGAGCCAGGCCCTCAGTGGTGGCATCGTAGTTGCGGAAGCAGACGGTGAGCTTCTCATCGAACTCCTGCACCAGGTCCTCCATCGATTTGAAGCTCATCATCTCGGTCGAGAAGCTCTCCAGCTCAGCCAGTGCTGGGTCCATGGTGCGTTGAGGGGCCCCTCCATTGTCCCCAGGCCCCTCCTCAAACTCTTCCTCCAGGCTTACCAGGGGTGCCTCCATCCTCCTTGCCACCACTGCCGTCTTAGCTGTGGGGACAAGGTGCCCATGAGGCACCTGCTGCTCACAGGCTGTGTCAACAGGGCTTCCTATTCCCTTTGCTGGCTGTAATCCCAGTGCCAGTAGTATCCCAGTAGTACTTCAGTTGTATCTTGGTAGTAGCTCAATAGTATCCCTAGAGCATCTTAGTACTGTCTTCATAGCACCTCAGCAGTGCTATAGTAATAAGTTGTAGCCTCTTAGTACTATCCCAATACTCTTTACTAGTAGAAAGTGTTTAAGAGTATCTTACTGCTGCCCTGATAGTGCAGCTAAAGTATTGCATCACTGCATTTTTTACTGAAACATTAATATCTCAGTAGTAGCCTCATACTATATCACCTGAAAGTATCACACTATTATCAACAGTGTGCTGACAGTATCCCAAAAGCTTCCTTGAGTACTGCCTTGATAGTACCCCAGAAGCATCTTACCACTACCTCTCCTCATTCCCTAGTAGTAGCTCAGCAGTATTCCATTGGTATCATAGTAGCATCCTACTAAAAACTGAATACTGTTCCAATAGCACCTTATCAGTGTTGTGAAAAAATCTCAACAGTATCACAGTAGTACCCTGATGCTATTTGAGCTGTGCAGTATCTTAGTAGTAGAGTATGCTCGCAGTATCTCAGTAAAATCCAGCACTACCAGCATTCTATTTTGATGGATTTTAGTAAACCCCTGGTAGCACCTCAGCAGCATCCCAGAAGCATCCTCTAGGCATGCAATCCAGTGCAGGCATGTAGCTCTGCATGTGGAGGGAGTGCATGACTGCATAGAGGCACATATATGCAAGAGTGCATGTGTGCACAGTGCACAGATGCACAGCTGGGAGCGCATGACTGTCAGGGTGCATGCATAGAAGGGGTACATACCTACAGGTGAATCTGAGTGCAGGTGGATCCTGTGCCCATCTGCAGCTCTGCACACTTGCAGCCCTGTACATACGGTGGTGCACAGGTGCAAGGCACATGTTTGCACACCATGGGTGCACGTGAAGATGCACGCATACACAGTGCTGTTTGCATGCTCGAGGGCTGCATGTATTTGGGGTGGCTGCACACACGGCAGCACAACAGGCTGTATATACACTTAGGTGTGCACTATGCACTTGTGCACCATTGTGCACCAGCTTTGTGCACACCTGCACCATTCACACGTACCCTGTTTTGTGCCCCCAAGCTCTCCGCTACATACACCCGCATGTGTGCACTGCGCATGCTCCTGCCAGCATCCCTCATACGTGCAGCTCAGTGCATGGCCCCCCCGATGCGCCCCAAAATGTCCCCCCAACCCCACATCGTCCTCTCCCATCCCGTCGCGCAGCGCCTGCGCATCACCTCCGCACGGCTGCTGAAGCGCATCGAGTACCGCGGGGGGCAGGCAGCTCCTTGCTGCCCCCCCACAACCGAGCAGCCCCAGAATCCCATCCCTACGACCCGTGCACAAGCCCAACGCATCCCCCACAGGGGCACCCTGATGCGATGTTCTCACACTGCGCAGTGATGTCCCCCAGAGTCCCGCAGGCCACCGCGCTGCACCTCCAAAATCTTTCGCCCGTCCCCCACCCCCGCCCCCGCCCCGCATACATGCAACGCCCTTTGCAACCCCCTCAACTCATTCACACACTCCCCCAC